GGGGTGGAGGGAAAGGGAAATATGATGAAAGAGAACACAGTCCACAGAGAAATCATGGGAGAGCTTTATTTTGGCTTTAACAGTCTCTGAACGGGATCCCCTGGAATCATAGGAGGTAGTTCTCCATTGATGTTGGGATAAAAAAGGCAGATGCATTTAGCCTCTCCTGTCACAGGTGACCTCACAAAGTTCGGCCGTGGGGATGCCTCCTCCCCAGCCCCGGCCACAACCTTGGCCCAACCCCAACAGAACCAGACGCAGACTCACCACACCACGCAGCAGACATTCCTGAACCCGGCGCTGCCTCCTGGCTACAGTTACACCAGCCTGCCATACTACACAGGGGTCCCGGGCCTCCCCAGCACCTTCCAGTATGGGCCTGCTGTGTTCCCTGTGAGTACCTGCACTTGATCTCTCTTTGGGGTGAAGGAGCCTAGCTACTGTCAAGGCTGATAGTAGATCAAGAGGAATGGTTCCCACCGTTGGCCTGGGAGAGGAAGTAGGGCTGGATTGGTGAAATTGGGTTAATGAGTCTATTTCACTAAGTAAACTGTGGCCAGCCTACATCAGATTGGTAGACATCTGAATGTCCCTGGAATAGGTCAGGTGAGGCAGACGGTACCCTGTGGCCATTTCACTGCAGTTCTGGACTTTTTGCTCTTCAGGTGGCTCCTACCTCTTCCAAGCAGCATGGTGTGAATGTCAGTGTGAACGCATCGGCCACCCCTTTCCAGCAGCCGAGTGGATATGGGTCTCATGGATACAACACTGGTAAGCTCACCTTGGCCCTGGCTCAGTGGTATCTAGGAGGTATTACTGGATGAAGTTCAGGGTAGAAGACTGGGTACTTGGAAAAATAGGTTGGTGAGAGCATGCTGCTGCTCCACATGATTGTTAACCCTTGGCTGACGGGCATTGGGCGAAGCACCAATAGGTGATTAATTCCAGCACATGTGTCTCCCAGTCGTGACTGTTGACTGGCCTAGACTTTGGGTGGGAAGTAAGAGAAGGGCCCCCGGCCCCCAAGATTGTGCAGAGATGTCAGTGGAGACAAATATTAGTATGTGTGGTACAGAGTATGAAAATGGATATATTCACTGAATAGAAGGGTGAACTGTGTTCACATCTAGGTTTGACTTAAATCTCTTGTAGTATTACTTTTCTTATGTGACTCCATTATTTATTTATTTATTTATTTATTTATTTATTTAATCTCCTACCCAGAAGATCTAGAATGTGAGAGAAAGGAGTAGGCAAGACTACTCTGTAGAGTGAGAATTGGATTCAAAGAGTTGGACCTTCAGGTTCTTTCATTTTTATGGCTGGTCTCTTTGCAAAGTTCATTGGTATATCTGACAGCTAGGAGGGAAGTGTAGATATTATTTGGATGGGTACTGATCTAAAAAATACTGAACCTATCCTTGCATCCACATCTGACAACTGTGCTCCACTTTTGGAAGACAGGGAGCGAGAAAGGGATCTTTGAAGAAAACAATTCCAACTACGTTTTCCAGTGACTTGTAGAGGAACATGGAAAGGAAGATGCTGCACTCACTAGGGTCTGAGGTTCAGGGTGGTTTTGCAAAGCTTTCAGCTTGGAGGAGCAGAATCAACTGTGTTCTATTTTTTTTTTTTTTTTTAAAGAATTATTTTATTTATTTATTATTATTTCACATGAGTTTTGCCAGAGAAAGACAGAGAGAGGGAAAGTGAGAAAGCAAGCCGCCAGGTCTGGGACTCAAACTGTGGTTGGCCATGTGGGAATTCCAGCACCTTAACCACCATGCCACCTGCTGGCCCCTCAACTGTGTTCTTAACCCTTCTGTGAATCCAGGTGGGTAATTCCCCAGGTTTCCAATAATTGGGAAACCAAGCTGAACACAGAAGACAGTAGGTCTAAGGAATTTCCAGCCATGTGGGTCATGTTCTAAATTAAAACCTAAGAAACTGCATTGAGACTACTTGTGGCCATCCCTCTCATTGAGCAAGGTCCATCCGAGTCCTTGGTGGGGAGGATTGTAACCTTTTGACTTGGGGTAGAAGTGGTGACTTGGTAGAAGTGACCCCACTAAGTTTAAGTCTCAGCTGGACTAGTTTCAAGAATTTTAAGAGGTAGGTGATTGATAATAGAAGAGACTTGACATGCTTGTTTTGACAATCATAGTGTCTTAACTCCCTTAAAATTTCAGAAAGCTGTAATAACAGCCCTTTGAGAACCCCCAGTTCCCACTACCACAGAGGGCTTCTTGTCATTCCATTCCTCATCAACCTCTAAATTCATTTATTTTTATGTATTTGATTCCTTTTAGGAAGAAAATATCCACCCCCTTACAAGCATTTCTGGACGGCTGAGAGCTAATTTGGCCCAAGGCTGGGGGCTGTGTTTTGTGTGTGTGTATAAATTTGCACTGAAGTCTTGTTTCAGAAACCAGACCACTGAGGAGAGCCTGCTGAGCTGAGGCCGTGGCCTGCGTGGCTTGGGGAAATGAGTTGGTGGATACCTTCTGGGCTTTTGAACTTGCCCCTCCCCCATTTCCCTCTCCCCCATGTGTCTGACCCTGTCTTACCCATTTCGAGTTCAAGTGGTGCAGCACCTCCGAAGCATCAATGCACACACCTGCTGTTGCTTTTGATTTCTGGAAGGCATGTAGTTTCAACTTGTAACAAAAATATTTGTAGTCTTCAATAAACTGTGGTATTTCTTTAGCTAACTCTGGCGTTCTTTCCGTGCATGTCTTTCTGGATACTAGGAACCAATGTTGTGCTATGGATGAAGGGTGGAGGGTGGCCTTTTCGATCAAACCCCAGCAGAGCTGAAGAACTGTTAACTTTTCAGTATGTTGGTTTTATCAAGATGGGGGTGGGGGTGGAAACAGCCTCAGTTTCCAGCCTGTTGATTGGTTGGTAAAGGAAGCTACTGG